TATTACACAGATTGATAATTAAAAACAAACACGCATTCACAAATATCTTTCCACGGTGGGCGATTTTAAAATTCAGTCAAGTTAGCAGTGACACTAATCTTGATTAACTGTGATTGTAAGAAATGCTTTCACAATTTATGTTGTCTGCAGAGGCAAGCGACCTTCTGGCACTGACCTCTCAAGAGTCGCAGGAAGCAAGGTCAGGGAGGAAAAAGCAATTTGCACAATTAACCTTCTGTCATCTACATTTAAACCCTCCTATGCAGAACGTAGCACTTGAACTCTCCGTTTATAATTTATTTACAAATCGCGGGAGGCCTAGTGTTGTACATCCATTCCGAAATCGTTGGGTCAACTACATTTCTGCTTCTCGATCGACTGATGAACGAATAACCTCGCAGGCCGATTTTAACGGAGTTATCTCTTCACTGTTTACGTTAAGCTCGTCCTCATTGCCGACCAGCTTTCCAAGAAGAATAGCTGCGATGGGCACTTGCTTCGTAATACTTCGTCTCCAACCATCACACTATTTTCAATGCAGAATAAACGAAAATTAAATACATTAACACAAACATTGTAAAGTAAACTATCAACATCCCCATAACAAAAGACTTTCCTTAACGAACTCTCAAAATTTAACTAGCGAATTGGCCTATCAAATTCACACGCTGTAATCGCAGCGCGTAATTACAATTGGGGAGGGTGAGTATTTCCTGTTTCCGGCCATGTCAATAAATTTGGTCGTTAGTTCCTTGAAAGCGCAAGTTATCGCCACAAGGTGTCATTGTTCCCCCACTGACACGCGAGATCCTGCGCCGACCTCATCGTCCCACGGGGTTTCCCCCTCAGGTACCTCCCCATCGTGGTAAGCTCCACGCTCCCGACTGGTCTCGCCACGTGTGCACGTAAGTGCGCGTTTTTAGTGGAAGAGAAGGGGACAAGAATGAGGAAGGGAAGCATACGCGCTGCCCTTGGCCCGTTCGTTTCGGGCCTAGCATTGGCCCCGATCGGAGCAGCCAGCCACAAGAATTCTCCTCCAGTGTCTGGATCCGGCCTAAGCTTTTTGGCTAGTGTTGAAAATACACCACCGTCGGTATTGAAACGTAGGATTTTCCGGACAGAGACGCTGCGCTGGCAACGGTTGTCACTGAGCTATCTCAGCCGTTGGGGGCGCGGTTGAGTCGGGGAGGGGGGCCCGGGGCAGCTGCAGCCCTGCAGAGCCAGGTGGTTTTCCAGGGGCAGAGAATTCAGAGGCCGCGTCGCATTGGCGACCATACCAATGGCTCTGGCTAAAGGCGCCCCTCCCCCCCCCTCCCACAGCCACACAAATACCCTATTCGCTTGAATAGTCATTCGGAAGGCAGGCTGCCTGCCGGCGAGGGGGGTGCCGTGGATTGTCCCCGAAGAGAGTTTGATGCCCCTGATGAAAAGCTATAATTCGCGTCTGCCGGTGAAAATTTAGTTTTCAAAGAGCTATTTCCAGAGCATTCGTAGAATTTATTCAGTCTGCTACATAAGGAAAATTGTTCTTTTTTTCCGTTTCAATTGATAATTAGTAGATTGCCACCATCACCACGTTAAAATGATAATTCGCACCCTGTGAGGAACCAACATTGAAGCATATTTTTGCTCGAATCGCCGGTGTTCTGAAATAACTTCGAAAAACTCCACTGATTACTTTGAGTAGTTACTTTAAAATCCACCCACGTTAAACATGTTTGTTTTTGTTTTGTGTCGAGTGTCCGGCTTTTTCAAATCTAAATGAATTTTACTTTCTTGCATACCACTTATGGCAGAAACGGCCCTTTTCCGACAGAATAACTCGTTCCCTGCCCCTAATATCTAAAAATGGAATAATTGTTCTTATATGTAGTAAATTACTTCCTGCAATGCATTGTGTAGTCAGAACCCACATTTTGTGGGTCCTTCCATACCGCAAATGTTGTTTACAACAAAATGTCTTTTCGTCCGTCTTTGAACAACGTTAGCGGTTAACCGCAGATTAGATTTTCACCAAAATTGATATTCCCGGCTTGAGCTTACTGATGGGGCAGCCCGTTGAATTTGAAACTTATATTTTAATTGTTTGAAGTACTTTATATGGAGACGCAGCGATATTTTCAAAATATTCTCAAAAATGCCCCTAAATGTTTGAATTTTTCTCGGAAAGAGCAAAGGACGTTAAAAAAATAGCTCTAATCCCATTTGCGTTGAGTTCTCAAAATTTTCGGAAACTGCTAAAGTTCAAACATTTTTCTGCGTCTTTCTACAACTACAATATTGATGGCGATTTGTTTTCCTTAATGCAATCTGTTCTTCAAAATTAGCTTCTTAATTAAGGTCATGTATCATCAATTTTTTTTCTGACTGTCCAATTTTGATTTTAGTGAGGAAACAGTTTAATTGTTTTTCGGACCGTCCCTACGACTATTATTGAAGCTAAAGTGTATTTCTTCAATCTATTTCTCAATAACCGTTCTTTAAATAATTTCAAAGACTTTTTTCTGAATAATAAATAGGCTATTTATCACGATATTTGGGTGAATTTTAAGTTTGAACACGAATGGAGGATTGTATGCCAAGATAAGAAGAATAACGTGTAATTCCTATTAAAACAATACGTTTTGAAGGATTTGTTTATGTTATTTTGACTGTTCTATACACATTTTATACATTATAATAATTTCTGTCCATTTTTTTAACAGTCATTCACATTCAATTAAAGATCGCCAAAATAACATTTAACTTTTTACTATTAAAATTAAATATATTATAAAAAAATATATGTATTTTTCTCGCGATGTTTTTTAGGAATTTTTCATGTGGTAGCTGAAATATTAGAGAGAATGTCACATAACATTTTCTTAAACGTTATGACTCGAACATTACGAGAAAGAAGCACAAGATTTCCTTAAGTCGCACTACAATTGTTGGTTCAAATGTGTTTACGAGATGACGCAGGTGAAGCAATAATTTTCCCATTTCAAGATATCATATGATCTTGCCTTTTTATACGAAGATAATGAAATATTATTTCTTTATACTATAAGAGGGCCGTGACGCTGCAAACAAAAAAGTCACCAAGGTTTGCATACATTTAATTTGAGATCTGAAACTTGAAATATTTTAAATGGCTTCAGCCATATTTTTTAATTGGTGATTGTTATCATTCTTTCACATTTATCAACACAAAAAACGATGTTCCAAAATTCAAACAATTCACTCATTTTCAATATGAAAGTATTTCACGGTAAATAAATAATTGTATAATTAAATGATCATTGCTCTATGATTTTATTCAAACAATTTTGTTATAAGTTTGCGACTGTCATCTACTATAGAGAAATGGCTTTAAGAAAAAAACGCATTTCCAGCTACTGCTTGGCCCCTACCAGCAACTTAACTGCAGATTATGTACCTGCGCTCATTATGTTAGTGCGTTTTCAGTTAGCTCATTTGTAAATGGCTTCATTACTATCTCTTACGATGTCTTCGCCCGGCATGACTTTCTTTTGTTTCCATACCTGACAAAGTGGTCCCTTCTTAGAGTACCTCCTCTATAGCAATGGTAAATCCTGCTAATCACAGAGCAGATCCCTTATACATTTTTGAAATAGTATTTACAATTATTAGCATGAATAATACGATTATATTCATAATGAGGATACCGTTTTGGATCTGTTGAGATCTATGAATGGTAATTATTTTTTAAAAAATTGAGTAAAATTACAACAACAAAAATGTCGACTTCGAGAGAGGGGGCGTGGCCCCTCTCCCCGATCCGCCAATGTATGTTAGTGGCGAACACATTGTCATGAAACGAGCGTGCAGATATACTTAGTTGTTTACGACGTATCAGTCCCACGCGTTTTTATTCTAAATTCCAAAATTGGCATCTTCTCACGGTTCTGCTGTTCTCTACCCTCACGTTGGATATGACGTGAGCTCGTAGAGGTCCATTGAAGCTTGGGCAAGAGTAGTTTTTTCAGCTTCACCAACAAGTCACCTCGAACCTAATTTAATTTACTTATATTCTAATTTCCGAACATCAAGCCTTGCTGTTCACCTGTGCATTTTCTTCAACCTTCAACTCTGCATTTTATTTCGTTATTTTTCAAGAAATAATAAACATACATTAAAAGTTTCCCTAAAAACACGGGCGACTAGTCGCGATAGAGAATACCTGGCGAACTAAATTTTATTCACCGCTTCGCATATTTCCCGATGACATGCATCTAAAGTATCTTAGAATTATTAAACTGTTGGCTAAACTAATATTATGTGTAATATACAACACCATTAAGTTTTAAAAGTTCCTGCTCTAGGATGACCATTGTTTAACCACGATCAGATAATTAAATATTCAACAGCATTTTTATACATTTTAAAACAATACACTTGTGTAATGAATATATTGACAAAATAATATTTGATAAATTGAAATGAGTTGTAAAAGTATTGCTGTATTTCAGGAACGTGAGCTTCCAATGTACCGAAATGTCAGTGAAGTTTTTTGAGAATATTAAGTCTTATTTCCCAGAAGTGGAAATTGAATTGAAAATACACACTCATCCTCCCCAGAAAACTACGTACCAACTACGAGGGATGTATCAAAGCAACCCGAAACTCCAGTAGTTCGCCTACTACTCTCAATGAAATTCAAAACAATGGCACACGGAACAGCTGGGTGAATGAACAGCTTCCTGGCATTGTATACACCAATAAAATCACTTGAAACTTACCGCCATGACAAGCTCGAAAGGATATTTGTACACACGAACTGGAGATTGGTATTTCTGCACCATTTTTGATGTTTTCAGGTCATAAAATGCATTTAAAAACAAGAAAAACAACTAAATTGTCCATACACGCGATCACACAACCACCCCACTGACAGCCAAGACTCGAATGACGGCCTCGGTTGCTTACCGTTGTGATTCGTTCAACATACAAATATTACCGAATCTTTCAAGTGAATCAGAAAAGAATCAAGAGATTCGGTTACTTTTGTGCGCCTCCGTGAACCACATGCGGCGTGATGCAGGTGTTGTGATGCAACGTGAGTGATGTTCACTTGCCAAATACATTTGATTTTTAAGAAACTGATCTCTTTGACAGCCTTTAATCGTACTCCTTGAGAATCAGTAAAAAAAAGCCTCGTTTGCTACAATTTGTCGTATTGACACTTGCTTTATGTCAGTGGAGCGACAATTCTTAGGCAAGAATTTCACTTTGTGGAACTTATAAGTTGTCAGTGCATCCAAGTATATCATAAAAAGAAGATAATGGCTGATGTACCGGCAGAAGCACCAGAACGTATGTTATTAATTATACATGTCATTTTTCCATATTCCTCTCTTTGCTGTGAAACTGCAATTCATGTTGATCCCCATCAGATTGCCCTGGAACTCAAAGTGAAGATGCAGGAAAAGTGTCAGCCTGTCAGGGTTGCCCTAATCAAGCAATTTGTTCTTCGGGTGCTGCTAGGGAACCTGACCCAGGTAAAAATATTATCTTAATTAAATTGTCTTAAAGTATTAAATTCCCAGAAATATTAATATTATTAAATGTTTTCTTTCTTACAGGAATTGCAGAAGTGCAAGTGAGGCTTGCAACTGTGAAACACAAAATTTTGGTGTTGTCTGGAAAAGGTGGTGTTGGGAAAACTACATTTTCTTCTCTATTGAGCAGAGGACTTGCTCTTAATAATTCTGAAAAAAATGTTAGTATCCCCATGATATTAAGAAATTAATCAGTCTTTTTTATGTGACTGAAACATATTTTTATTTATCTATTGTCTTTATTTTGCAATATCCAGGGGCTAAAACAGACATGAAAGATTGTAATAAATTCCATTGTTAATTGATGATGTGCATTGAGTAAATGCCAGTAAGGCAAGTGAAGTGACCCCTTTCTTTCTGAAAATATTACAAGGTGTAAATGACTGTTTTGTCTCAGGTAATGGGGGCCCTTGCCTTATCTCCATGTGGCATGGTGAGTTAATAACACTCGGGGCAATTATGAAGTTCCTCCATTCCCTCTCTCTAAAAGAAGAAAACTTAGGGACAGTCAACAAATTAAATCATGTTTGAATAAAGGGTAAATCGGAAGTTGATGGTGTCATGGTTCTTTTTACAGGAAAAATTTCATTCACCCACAGTGTAAAACATATTTTTTACACTGGGCTGAATAATACAAACTGAACATGAATTTCAGTTCGTATTGTTCATCCTAGAAATTAATTTTGTAGCCGACACGGTAAAAGTGCTGCCAACGCACTTTCTTGTGGAATTGTGTCACTTCACTACATGTGTCCAAGCTGAGGATGAAGCTCAGGCATCCAGCTCCCGCATTAACGTAAAACATCCTTGAGTCTGTCCAATGCATTTTATGCAAAAACTCACTTTAAAAGTCGTTGGACATTCACCCTAGAATATAATTTTCTTGTCTTTTGAAGGGAGTAGTATCATACTGACCTACATGAACAACAATGAACCATAACTTCAACACAAGAAATAATAAACCATTAAAAGGAATTGTGGCACTTGCAACTTCCGATCACCCGAATATAGATATTTTTCGAACATTTGTGAAATGCAAAAAAAGAAAAGAGAAAATATGTTGCTCTCTCAGAAAGTATAGCTGGGAATGGGTGAGTCTTGTTTCTTTCACTCCAATCTTCCCATCTTCAGACCAACAGACAGTGCTTCATGTAGCATAACTTAAACCGTGTATTAACTTAAATCTAAGTGAATATCCAGTAAAAAAAATGCTAAAAAACCAGTGTGGTTCAAAATTCAGAAAATCCTAGATTTAAGAGAAATTAATTTAATGTACTTTGTACAGAGAAACCGCATTGAAGTTACAAGCTGGTTTCAAAGAAAATATCTATCATACAAGTTAATGGTGAGAGGATTTTAAAGTTAGTGTTCTTTTCATACTAGGTAGCCATCCTGGACTTGGACATATGTGGTCCATCCGTTCCCAGAGTGATGGGTGCATTAGGTGAACAGGTAAACTTCAAGACTTTTTAATTATTTTGACATTGTTCAAATACATCTGTTAATACTTGCAAGATGAGTATATTACAGTTGATAACTTTAGAATTAACAAACCTGTTGCTCTAGGATCTTAATTTTTATTCCAATTTTAATTTACAATATTCCCAATTGTAACATTTGATTTCCTTCTCTGTGTTCTCTTTATCTCTGAGATATTTAGTGCTGATGTCATTAGCCTGAGCACAAAATTATTCCAAGTCAATGTTCATTGTGAGCAGATCTTTGAAACTTTCTTGTTTGTTACATTACACTGGTAGAAAACACCAACAAATACAATGATTTTGTTCTGTCCTGAAGCACGTTGCTTATCTATGACCAATTTGAAACAATTGTTTGAATCAATGTTGCTTGTTTAAAAGTTTGAAATTTACATTTAAAAAGCATTAAATTTAAATTCATGACACGAGATATGAAGACTGTTCTTGTTGTGTGGGTGACGAAATGAAGAATTGACCCCCAAAGCATTTAATTTGGGCAAATGGGAGGACTGAATGACAGTTCAATAATGTCAAAAACGTTTCACTTATCATTACATGTAGACTGGTGTTTCAGAAAGTGACTAAAAATATTTTTTTTTGTTGCTAATGCTTCATCTTATAATCTTGCCAATGCCTGGTAATGACATTCAGTGCTACTTCCTTTTGTGTGTGTACTTGTCCATCTAATTTTTTTTTAACTGTACCTTTTCTTTTTAACGTTCATGAAATAAACACTTAGTTCTGTCCAATAAGTCATTGTGTGCCAATTTGTTCATTTTTGTTGTTGTTGTTTAAAGATGAAAATGTCAGTATCAGTTCTTGAAGTCGTGATGAATTTCTTTCAGGTGCATCAAAGTGGATCAGGATGGTCACCAGTGGTAAGTGCATATGTGAGCAGCTGATTGGTGACAAGCGTGTAAAACAATTGCACTTTCCCAAAAATGTCAAGAAGTTAAAAATATGAGAGAATAAGGAATTTTAAATAAGTTGTTGCTTAGCATATATTCATCAAAACACTGTTAGTAGCTAAGAATAATGCTTAGAACTATCGTGGCTATTTGGCTATTTTCTCAGCTTGTTCGTTCTAACAGTATTACAAACAGGATAGATCAGTGCATTCATTTATTGTTAGAGTTTCTATGTTAATGTATCATTATCAAGTTATATCAAAAGTACTTTCCCTCATCTTGTCTTCACAGTATGTGGATGATAACTTGGCAGTGATGTCTGTTGGATTTCTCCTTAGTAATCCTGATTCTGCTGTTATTTGGAGGGGACCAAAGAAAAATGGTAATTTTTATTAATAATGAATAGCCTTTATGAAGTTGTTGCAGTCAATTTCATTTAATAGATTAGTTAACAAATTGTAAATACATTTATACTGGATATGATATACCTACTGTGATTAACAACTAAATATTGGTTTAGTAGAATTTAGTTATTAGAAATATCTAGGAACACATATTTTGGTATTGTAGAGGAACTTGGTCTTGTACAAGTAGTACTTCAGCAGGTAGTGACAAATGACTAGATTAAAATTTATTTGAGATGACCCTGTTACAAATGTATTGATTTTAATAACAATTTTTATTTATTTGACTATTATTTCATTTTAGATTGATGATTTAATTTCTCAAGTGCCTCTTTACCTGTGAATACACAATAGTTTTAAAGCTAGAATAATGGTTGAGATGGCATTTTGGTATATTGTTTTAGATTATATACTAAGCTTCCCTTTACTTCCTATCATTCATGAGTGGATATACTACATATGGCAGAAATGTATGTTAAGAGGGCAAACTATTAATATGTATATGTATTTTTTAAGTTTACCACATTTAAAGATCGATATACTATTGTTTGTATGAGAAATACTTTGTTTCCCAGGACTCATTCGACAGTTTCTTAGTTCAGTGGACTGGGGTGAATTGGAATACTTAATAATAGATACACCTCCAGGAACATCAGATGAACATCTTTCTGCAGCCCAGTATCTCAGTGGAGCAGGTGTAACTGGTGCTGTGCTAGTCACAACCCCACAAGAAGTCTCCCTACTTGATGTACGCAAAGAAGTTGACTTTTGTCGAAAGGTAAGAACCGAAAAGAACCAACTATTCCTGTATAGCCTATTAGCATGACAAACATTCCCGTGAAAACATAATTGATATGAAGTAGGTTTATGTTGGAGGTTTCGAAAGGGCGATACAGTCTCGTTCCATATTCGCCAATGAACATGCTGAGCATTCATCTGCGCCTTCTGTCTTCTCCTTGCAAGTGTTCACTGTGTGTGTAACCGTCACTAGACGCGTGTGATCTATTGAGTGCCTAAAGTGTTTTGTGCATCACATTACCTCTGAGAGCTGTAATCAAGCAACATACATATGATGTTACTTTCTATGTTTGCCCTACCTTCCAATAGTATTGATGCATTAGAAGTGTGATACCAAAAGACTTGTGGACCACAATTACCTGAAATTTGTATTTCATGGCGAATGTGCCACCATAGTGAATGCATGAACACAGCGATTATCTCTAGGCAAAAAACATCAGAAACTAGTATTATTTTAAATTTAATAGGAAATATATATCCTGTTGACAGCTATTAATCTAATATAAATACCATTTAAAATATAAAATATTTTGTTCAATATCTACCTAGAACAAGCCCTACATAACTGGTACAGGAAATGTTCAGGCATGGGAATGAAAATTGTAGACACGTTTCACTCCCTTCTATTTGCTGATGACCAGGTAAACTTTGCTCAAGATGAAGAGAATATGATATATATGCTCAGAAACCTAATCGAAGAATATAATAAATGAAGATTAGAAGTAAATTTTAATAAAACTGAGTGTATGTACATTGGATAATAACTGATATAGACATGAATGGAAACAAAATTAAAAGCTGTAACACCTTCAAATATCTTGGATTTTTAATAAACAACTCGAGCACATGTGCCACAGATATAAACTCAAGAGTTATTGCAGGGAAGAAAGCACCCAAAGCTTTACAAAGCTTGTGATGGAATAACAATATCCGCCAAGATGTGAAAAGAAGGATATTCCACTGTGTAGTAGAAAATATAGAACTATACAGATCAGAAATGTGGCCACAAACAAAAAGTAAGAGTTAAGATTAGGACAGTAGAAATGGACTACATGAGACAATGCCTACAGCGTACTCAGGGACAGAGTGCAAAATGAAGAAAAATGGAAAAGGATTACTGTAATTTGTTTTATTACGAAGATCTTGGAAAATAAAGCACTACTATGTAATGGTCATGTTCAGAGAACTGAAAACAGATGGCCACACTAGATCTTAAAGTGGCAACCACCTGAGAGAAGAAGAGAGGAAGACAAGTTTTAGAATGGGAAAACTATATCCAGGAAGCTATGGAGAATAGAGGCCTCAAACCAGTAGAACTGAGAGTTTTGAAGGTTAAAAATGGCCAGCTCCTATGAGGAAAAATGCCAAAGAAGAAGACAACCATGAGTTGTGAAGAGGGGAAAATACCAAAGAAGAAGAAGAAGAAATATAAAATTGTTAGTAAATCTTAATAAAACACTTCTTTCTGGATTTATTTACTTACATACTTTTCTTAATGAGAAATGTAATCATGTTGCAAGAATTTATTTTGCTCTGTATTAGTTTAATACAAATGTTGATGGAATTTAATATGCCAAATGAACATTTATTCAATACAATAGATGTTAATTTTCCATAGAAAAGTGGTTCTAATAATAGTTTCATTCTCATGTAGTTCCCCCTTGTTTGTCATGCTCTGTTCATTGGGTGTAGTATTTGTTTTTAAATAAGTATCCATTTTGTTGTGTGTCTTAATTTTATATATTTACTCTCTTTAACAGGTGAAAATACCAATTATTGGAGTGGTTGAGAATATGTCCTCATTTGTATGTCCTAAATGCAAAGTAAGTGAATTGTTTTTTTGATGAGTTGGGGAAGTTGAAGATATCGACATGTTTATAGAATGACTTGTGTATGTTAATAAATAAAATTATAAAGGAACTCTTAATGATTACAATAATAGTCATTTACTAAACATTAATAATCTTGATTTCATTCAATATTTTGTGCTCTAATAAGTCTTGGTTAGTTAAGATGATTTACCCGAATTGATTGTAAATAAATAGCATTTTCAGAACAGTTCTTGTATTTGCTTATTTGCATAAGAAGTTACTTTGCATGCAATTTACATATTTTCTGTGCAGTTTAATTCCGATATATTTCCGGCTGAAACTGGAGGAGCTATCAAAATGTGTGAGGAATTGGATGTCCCGTTCTTGGGGAAATTACCTTTGGATCCACAACTGGCCAGAGCTTGTGATGAAGGCCGCAACTTCCTTTCTGAATTGCCTGACACACCTACAAGTCAAGAATTTTCAAAACTTCTCAAAAGTAAGCTATACCTGTTAAAGTAATCTTTATCAGTTTACTTCCTATAATATTGTGTTTACTTCCTATAATATTGTGTTATCTAATGCTTTTTTCTGTTCACAAGGAATTGAAGAAGAATGCCAGAAGCAGACTTGAAATCAACATTAAATCCTGAATGAATTATGTTATTTCAACAATAATAATGTATTGTATAAATCTGTGTAAAGTTTCAAAAACAAAATATTTTTATGAATATAATAAAGACAAAAAGTATCAAAAACATTTTCTTTTTTTCTTTCCCCAACAAGAAGATAAATAAGAAAAAGAGTTGTAATCCAACAAAATTGTGGAGAAGCATTTTAAGAATAATCACAACATAAAATTAACAAAAATTTTGTCTTCATTCATTGGTAATTGATAATCTTGTATTTATTTATGATTCAGTGTATTTAATAGAACAATTGTTAATTACAATAATCTTCATTGTCTCATGTACACAAACAAAGGTAACAATTTTTTGACAGAATCACTTTAAATGGCTCAACCAATTTTAATAATTTTTTAATGATTTAATTTAGAATCTTTATCACATGATGGTCAGCTATCAATAAATGATGATAATCATTTGTAGATTAGATTGTTTTTATAAATTTATCCTTCTTTACAATTATTATTCAACTACAAATATTTTAAACTTTGACACATTTCTATGAGTATACATTTAAATATTGTGCATTATTGTCACAAATTCAACCAATTTCAGAGTATTGAGAGCACACAAATGGCCCTGTGTCATTAGTAAAATGTGTGAGGAAAGAATATTATGAAGATGCTCACAATCTGGGGGGTATATGTGAGTCCTACATTATTTTATCTAAGTGAAGAGGAGCAGCATAAGCACATTACTTCCAAATATTGCAGCTCTTAACAGCAGCCAATGACTTAATTTTTTTTAGTTTCCAAACCTTCATTTTTTTATGATTATTATCAGAGTATATTACTGAATTCATGAATGATGTGCCATAAATTATCATTTTAAACTGTGTGCTTCTTGTTAACTTCAATAAATCATTTTAAAATGGTAGTGGCTTTATTAAAAAGCACGCACCCCCTTTAATGAAACCCCAAAATTTTGTGTGTCAAAAAGACCTAAGTAGAAGAGCACAAAAATGGTTATAAATATTAATGAAAATCTTTCTTAATAAGAAGATTCATGTAATGTAAAAATGCACCAAAGATATTGAAAGCATTGTATTTTTGTAGGGAAAGAGGTGTGCAAAACTTGTAATTCATAATGATTACTGATGAAACAATTAATTTGAAACAAATAAATGTTACTTTATCAGCAGTAATAATGTCTTCATTGAAGTTTTTAATGTATTTGATTAGTATAATGTACTCTAGGTACAATGTGCATTAAAACTGATGAAAGAAATTGTCTACATTTTAAAATCTTACTGATGTGATCTGTCTTTAATAATTTTATATCTGGTCACTAGCTTGCACCACATTGGGACAAATATTTATTCAAATATACATATATAGGACCCCCAAAAATTAATTCATATTAACTTAAACATTAAAAAATGTGAATGTTGATTATATCTCTTCAACCTTCATATACTATTTAATGTCATCAATGAATCAATCATTTGTAAATAATAATTAGGCTCAGGTTTGTAAATAAGCATGTAGTGTATTTACACTTACATGTCACAACGGCTACTCTCAGAATCTAAACGAGCAATTCATTAAGACTTCTCCAGTAGCGCTTATGTTTGGTGATATGATGATAATGATTAGGTCCATAAAATTGTTGAAGCAATGAGAGACTGGGTGAAGATGAGAACCTCAAGGAAAGAAAATCAGGAAAATATATAGAGATTATATGACACTAAAACCACATTAGTCAAGTAAGATATGAACACTAATGCTCGAAAGTGGAGAGCTCGAGTGCTCGTGGCTACACGAAGTGTCATAATAATATTTGACTTTAAGAAGCTAAATAAAATGTAATGTAAGCCTTTTAAGTTGTAAATCCATTAAATCGTGAATTGTTCGGCAGGGTAGGGTCGGAGGCGAGAACGCAGCAAACAACAGACTCGGCCCCTTCGTTGCGGTTCGGATTGATTGAGTGTTTTCGGGTGCGCCAACGTCTATGTTCTTTATTCCCGTAAGTGTAACGCGTCTCATGTCCCTGGAGATGTCAGTGTTCCTTACCCCCTGGAACAAGACGATTAGCAGCCAATGAACACAACAGCTCGATTCTCCACATTCCGCAATCTTTCTCTCTCCCTACCACTCCTTTTCTCTCTGCCTCTCCTTCTCTCTCCCCTCCCTCTGACTGTCAATCCTACTCTCTATTTCTCCCTCTCTCTCCCCTCCTCCTCACTTCCCCTCCTACTCCCTATCACTCCCACTCTCTATTCTCCCCCTCCCTCCCCCCTCACTCCCTCTCTCTGAATGCTCTTCTCGCTGCTTCTCTCCCTGTTTAGGCAACAAACAATTAATAAAATATTTTGATGTACTAGTATTAATTACTTCACTCACTATGCTTCTCCCCTCCAAAGATGAATTAAAATCGTCACCAGTTCTCCAAAGTGACGCCTCCTTCTCTCTCAGATTCAGGAAGAGGCTTCTCACATTACTGACAGAGATTGCACGATCATCTCTTCTCCGGAGACCCGTTCTATTTATTCGCAAATAGAACGTGCATTTTATTAGTGTTACGTTGGCATATGCCGATAATTCGAATTTACCGCCGGAAATAACAGTCGAATAGCATCGCTGGTCGGAGGCACGGGCGCGGTTCGAGCGGCAACCCCACCCGGGAACGTCTGCTAGCAACTCCGGTGACTCGTTCAGCCTGCACAGACCGGTACAGCGCCAGCAGGCGCAAGAGGGAACAAAGAGAGAGGGGGAACAAAGGGACCGCGCAAGAGCAAAGAAGTGCAGGTAGCCTACTTCTTTACACAGACTGACTCAAACAATTAATAAATTTCGACTGCATGTAAGGGGTCTATTTTCTTTTCGAATCAACACGTGGTAGAAATTTGATATAATAAAGTAACACGTGTGACATTTGCCATTGATTGGTAGGCAACTACTCTTGCATTGGTGTTTGGCGGGTACACACACTATCTTTGACCGCATCAGAACGTGACCATCTAACGCCAAAGCATGACGGGTTGCATATCAATCAGGGGTGAATTGTACATGTGCATCTTCTTTTTATGAAATTTCCCACAGTATGTTCATGGGGAAAAGTGATCATTTTGATCCCCCAACATGCCCTCGAAGTCTTGTCTGAGACTCCCGAAATGTCCCTGCAGCGACGGCCGAAGTAGTAGCATTCTGGAGAAGAAACGACTGCTACTCAACGCGCACTAGACTGCACGAGAGAACGGGTTCTGTTGCTGGATGAGGCGACGACGGATCATAAGAGAACGAGCTGTAGGAGACTGCAAAGTCACGAAAGTAGAGGGATTCTTCATCAGAACGAGAGGACTGCAACCCGAGAAAGATGGTAGTACACATTAGTATTATAGTATTATTTGCTCTGAAGAGAACCCAGTATGATGGAGAAATATCAAACAAGAATATTTCAAGTAATTCTAAGCACCAAAAGTATTCCAGCTAGTCATTCTGTTCATAAACTCTTTATTGGTTACACCTTACATTTCAACTCACAAACCCTGAACAACACTACATATCTAAAGAAGTCGGCCATTGTAGCTCAGCCATTGTAGCAATTGTACGAAGTATTATTTAAAGTTGGTGATCTAAAATGTAAGAAATCGTAATCAATAAAGAATTTAATGCAAGTACGACTAGTTGGAATATTTTTGGGGCTTAAAGTTAAGCTGTTGGGGCTTAAGTATTATTTTTTGATAATGAATTACAAACTTCGAAAGTTCATACAAGTATGATAAATTGTACGTGCATTGGTGCAAGCTGTAGAAAACAGCGATAGAATTACAACTGTATAGAAAGACGAATATTGAAAATATTGAACACATTGGCGAAGAGAGTGCACCTTGGGCATTTCACAATTTCAATGTTTATTTTACGTTCTCGACAAAGACCTGCTACTGCTAATCATGATATTGACGATGATGATTCAACTACTGGACCAACAACTGACGTTTATCTGACTTGCACGTGCTTCATTTCCTCCCCTGAATGGACGTTTCTCTTGATCACTTGACCTTTAAACAGCTTCATCATACTCTTCCTGACTGCGCGTGGCTGTTAAGTCTCGAGCTCTTTGGCTAGCATGACATGTTTATTTACCTAAACTTAACTTTCAGTACTGACCAAGCGGTCACTGCCACTGTTATATTAGGTAGCTGCCAGAAGAGGCGCAGGTGGAAACGGGTGTTAGAGCTAGACGTGGATAGCATGTACAGCGCTCGCCATTCTCTTCCGACCAGAGGTGCATCTCGCGGGCGCCTTTGTTGCGATTATGAAGACAGTTGTCTTTTACAAGTAATTGTAAGGAGGAGAATCAACTAGTGGTGGGGTTATTATTATTTTTTATTCTGACAGAGATTTCTGACATAGATCGGTCGCTGCAAACCGTAGCGGAGCGGGGTGAGGGTTGGAAGCTCCTAGGCAGTGCTTCTATTGTCCTTCCACAACACTGACTGAATACTGTTAAAGGGATTTTAAGGATGCAGACAAGTTTTAATGTTAGCTGATTATTGTGAAATCCCTTCATAAATTGGGGTGGAGGGATCGAGTTTATACAACGATTTTCTACACTCGATAACTCAACTACTGTACTTCTAACTAAACTGAACAGAGGTGGTGGGGGTATGTTCGAAAAGATCATTTGTCACGTCTACGACATCTACACTTCCTTACACACTAAAGTGTAGTTGGTGTTGATCAAGTACGTACGTGTTGCGTGTCGTTATTGGCCGAAAAAGGCAGAGATGATTTCCTTCATTCACCGCCTGATGATGCTAAAGTGTGCCGATAATCTGCCGAAGTTTTTCCCTATATACCCCCCCCCAAGCCTCCAACATCGGAGTTGTCTTTTTACAGTCTTCACGATTGCGATAATTGTGCGGCAATGGCCTTTACCCGTCGCTCTATCGCACCATTTCCCAGCGGTTATGCCCTCTTACATTTCAGGAGACAAATGAAGGTCTATTTGTCCGAGAAAACTTGCTCGTCTATTGATAAGATAGATGAAGTTCTTCACCTTTGAAGAGGCAATTCTTTCAAGTGTGTGGAGGCTGGAAAGGGCTTTTGTTTAGACATAGTCTCTCTCTG